GGCAGAGGCAGAAAGGAAGCATCCCATAGACACAGGAGCCTGGTCCAGTAGGGCACAGCCCCACCAACCTCAGTCAGCTCTAAACAAGCCAGCACCTGCTCTCCTTCTTACACACTTCCAGTCCAGAGGGTGCCAGCTTCCATTCCTTAGTGCAGTACTTGTGAAACTTATCAGGGCACCATAATGTGAAGGCTGGACAAATGGGACACATTCTCTTATAGGGTTGCCATTTGTTAGGGAGATTTGGCTGGTCCATATAGCAGAGGCTTACTTTCAATGATACTACGGTGGCGCTGTGGTCTAAACCACTGAGCCTCTTGGGCTTGCCGATCAGAAGGTTGGCAGTTCGAATCCCCACAACGGGGTGAGCTCCCGTTGCTCAGTCCCAGTGCCTGCCAACCTAGCAGTTCAAAAGCACGCCAAAAAGCACAAGTAGATAAATAGGTACCACTCCGGCGGGAAGGTAAGTGGCGTTTCTGTGCGCTGCTCTGGTTTCAGTGTTCCGTTGCACCAGAAGCAGCTTAGTCATGCTGGCCACATGACCCAGAAAAACTGTCTGCGGACAGATGCCGGCTCCCTCGGCCTATAAAGCGAGATGAGCGCCACAACCCCAGAGTCGTCTGCGACTGGACTTAACTGTCAGGGGTCCTTTACCTTTACCTTTTTTTACCCATTACATGTTTGAATTGGTTTAGGTGAACAAGTCAGGGTCTGATGGATTGTCCAACCACCCCAACCTACCTCATGCCATCTTAGAGCCAGCTCAATGTAAGTTTGGAGCCCAGGCCACAGGAAATAAAAACTGATGTGCAAATATACACCACATGATGTACCCTTTGGAATAGGAATAGGAAGCTGCCTTATATTGAGTCAGACGATTGGTTTATCTAGTTCAGGGTTCTTTACATCGACTGGAAGCTGATCTCCAAAGTTTCGAACAGGAGACTTAGCTGGGGATGCTGGAAGTGGAACCTGGGACCTTCTGCACCTGAAGCAGTTACTCTAGGACTTAAATATGGGCCACCCCCAAAGGTCATAGAGACAAGACAGCTTCAGTACCAGACTACAATTCAGCTATGGAACTTAGTCCCACAGGAGGCAGTGAGGGCCATTCTTGGATGGCTTTAAAGGGGGACTGGGCAAATTTGAGAAGGAGAAGGCTATCAATAGCTACTAGCCATGATGACTGTGCTCTGCCATTGGAGCATTGGAGGCAGCAATGCTTCTGACTACCAGTTGCTGGAAATCACAAGAGTGGGGTCTTCTCTTGCACAGCTCCTGCTTGCAGGTTTCACACATGTATCTGGTTCGCCACTGTGAGAACAGGATGTTGGACTAGATGGGCCATTGGCCTGATCCAACAGGCTGTCTGTATGTTCTCATGACCAATTGCCTAAATGAAAATGAACCTGCTGAAGCAGAAAAGCAATTCTTTTCCCCTGTAAAAATAACCCAGTCATTTCTTCCAAGAACTCAAGGTCACATGAGTTGATTTGCACGAGAGATTCTGTGTGTGCTCTCGGAGGAGAAGAGGTCCTCTTGCTCCTTCATTAAAAAGCAATGCTCATCCTCCATTCATAACGAGAGGTGTGAAACAGTAGCATCTCTGCAGTTGTCTCTTTTATAATAGGATTAATTAATAGTTCTGCATGCACCAAGAAGCTTAGAGGAATTCTAAAATAAAAAACTAGATTGAGGAGCTCAGTCGGGGATTATGCCAACAAACACAAGAAACACGGGGAAAAGAAGGAAATGGTCTGAACCTATTGACAATGAAAAGTGGTTTGATTGTTGATGAATTTCTTAGAAGAATGAGTCCCTCTGTATACAGTGAAATATTGGAATTTTGATGGTGAAGGCTTTGTTACTGAATGGCTATCATAGCACGTTCTGGCTCAGAAATAGGCAGCTTCCTATGTCTTTATGTTTCTCTGAAATACCAAAGGAGGTTCAGGAAGTTCCATCAATTGGGTGTTTTAAATAGGACACAGGGGGCAGTCCTACATTGAGTCAGACCATTGGGTTCATCTAGTTCAGTGTTGTCTACACTGACTAGCAGGTCTCCTGGAGTTCAAAAGGTTTCCTCCTAGCCCTATCTGGGGATGCTGTGGATTCAATCTGGGACCTTCTACATGAAAATCATATACTCTGCCACTAAGGAACCTAGAAAACTGCTTTATAACAAATGTAGCAAGGCCAACGTGTCTTCATTTGCCAACTTACGTTGTTTCTTTTTGTTCAGTGGGATTGTAATAGGTAGGCAAATCTCTATGCTACTCTCATTGCTTGCCCTGATCTCCAAGCAGGACCAGGTGAATTATAGCACAGCATTTGAGCACTTAAATATGATTAAATCTGTTGCTTCTGTAAGAACATTGCTTAAAAATAATAATACAATTTTTAAATACATAGCCAACACATATAGTTAAACTCATTCCGTAACAACATAAGGCTCTGCAGAATGTTCTTCATTTTTTATTTCAGATCCAAAATAGAAATTTTCAGTGGGATAAAATTATCCCACTAAAATGCTTCATGCAGATAATACCCCCTGTTATATAACTATTTAGTGTCATCTGTTCCTCTAGCTGGGAGTTCTTTCTCCATCCTGAACTGGTCACATGGATACTCCCCACAAATCAGGGATTATGCAATAAATGGGAAGCTACATAGCCAATTAGGCTTGGCTTTATGTCACTGAGGGTAAATATTTTTCCCTGCTCAGGAATACAGTGGTATCTCGGGTTAAGTACTTAATTCGTCCGGGAGGTCCATACTTAACCTGACACTGTTCTTAACCTGAAACACCGCTTTAGCTAATGGGGCCTCCTGCTGCTGCTGTGCCGCTGGAGCACGATTTCTGTTCTCATCCTGAAGCATAGTTCTTAACCTGAAGCACTATTTCTGGTTTAGCGGAGTCTGTAACCTGAAGCATATGTAACCTGAAGCATATGTAACCTGAGGTACCACTGTATCTCTGATTTCTGGAAACCACCGGGGGAGTGAAAACCTGTGGAGGACCATTCATGATGACCCCACTGCAGTAGCATAGCATGGGTTGCCAGCGTCCTTCCTCATGGAGAGGGAAGGGAAGGGAGGGATACAGCATGTGCATTCAACTGTCCAACAGTGTCTGCGTCTTCCGGGAATCATAGCTACAGTGATAAGAAAAGAAGAGTCATTCCGTTGTCTGGAGAGGTCACTTCCTGCTTCGCATGGAGAAGTCATTTTCAATGAAGCCCATTGATGGAAATGCACAGCTGTATTGAGGCAGCACCGGGTGCTGAAATTTTGCACCCCTAACCATTTTGTGCCCGAGGCAACCGTCCCCATGCCCTCCCATGCTATGTCATTGCCCCACTGAGCCCTGTGTTTCCTACTTGCTCAGATGCAGAATCAGGGCCCCTGTCAACAGGGCTTGTTGGAAGGAGACCCTTTCCATGAAAAGGACACACACCTTCTCCTTCCACTGAATGTAGGTCCAGGTTGTTGGTTTTTTGTAGCGATAGTAGCAGAGATTCTTTTCCCTCCATAATCACTTGCAAGGCTAGGGAGCTGAGGTTTGTCTATTTCTTGGCATAAAAATCTAAGAGGTGGCCACCTGATGTGTATTCTTGCTTATACTTAAAAAAAAAAAAATTCAGCTTCAAACTTTCAGCTTGCTTATGTTTTCCAATAGGCCTTACAATGTGAGTCTGTCTTGAATGCTGCCTGCAGAGAATTGAAGAGCTCTGGAATCTGTTTTTATTGTTGTTGGCAAAGCACAGCAAAGGAGGATTTCCATTTTTTTAAAAAAAGTTAAAAGTTTCATTTAAGTCTTCTTTTTAAAATTCCTATGTTGCTCTGCTTAAAACAACAACAACACCAGGTTCTTCAGAACTCTTGCAAAGCCCATGTCTACAGTCACAGTTAGATTCATGCACACAGTGAATATACAATAAATTTGATCTAAATTGGGAGCATTCATTTCAAGCTTTTAATTATCCATTTTGGTCATTAGTCACCCCACCCACCCACACTTGTTGCCATCCTTACTGAGATACACTGCTTGCTTTCCTTCACTTTCAAGGGACTCTTCCCAAAAGTTTCATGAAGAAACAGTTAAAAACACCCACTTACATCAAAACCTTGCTTCTGAGTTTTTTTTTAAAAAAAATTAAAAATCTGATTTTAGTCAAACCAGAGGGAAGGAGGACAGGAAGGAACAAACATTTTGCAAGATCCCTAGCTTACAGTGTGAAACAAAGAGCTGCGATGAAGATAAACAGATGGAAAGACAGTGATACACAGATGCAGAGGCAGAGTGAGCTGCCGGAACCAAATGGAACTTCAAATGAGAGTGTGACAGTTTGAAGAAACCGTTTTTGGTCATGTTCCTCTCTTGTTAGAAAGTCCCCCTCCCCTCTTCTCCTTTGATTCTAATATACCAGCAGCAGATTGAAAACATAATTTTTTTTGGGGGGGGGAATACAAATCAAGTTTGGATAATAATAATTTACATGGTACTTAAAATAAGATTGCAAGTATTGTTTTGCTGCATCAGATGAAGAACACAATAAATCTGAATTTCTCCCTCGATTTTGGAATACTGACCTACCTGGCTCTGTTTGCAAAGTGGAACAAATGCATTGGAGTCAGCCTTTGTTACACACACACACATACACACACACAATTTTTTTGTACAGACTACAGTGGTACCTCAGGTTAAGTACTTAATTCATTCTGGAGGTCCGTTCTTAACCTGAAACTGTTCTTAACCTGAAGCTAATGGGGCCTCCTGCTGCCGCCGCGCCACCGGAGCACGATTTCTGTTCTCATCCTGAAGCAAAGTTCTTAACCTGAGGTAATATTTCTGGGTTAGCGGAGTATGTAACCTGAAGCGTATGTAACCTGAGGTACCACTGTACTATGCATAGACAATGTGCTGAAGCATTTAGGTGGCAATTCTCTATACACTGGGTGGAAACCTCATTCGATGCAGGGGGGCTCTGAGAAAGACAGTAGCTCAGTAGCAGAGCATCTGCTTTGCATGCAGAAGGTCCCGGGTTCAAGCCCCATCACCTCCAGGTAGGACTGGGAGAGCCTCCATCCTGAAACTCTGGACAGCTCCTGCCAGTCATTGTCAACAGTTCTGAGCTTTATGGGCCAATGGTTTGACTTGATACATAGCAGCTTCCTATGTTCCTGTGAGTAGACATACCTAGAATTGCATTTTTTCAGCTATTTCAATTGTTTTCCCTCTCCACGTTACTGGTGCACATACATAGTTGTATATATCGATATCAAAACTGCAGGGAAATCCATCTTGAAATGATTCCATGTAAAATAACATTAAGGTTCTTTCCCCTCTATGAATGTGGTACATTACATGTACACATCAATCAAACAATGCTTTGCGAAAATAAACTTAATGCAGGCCTTCAAAGGATCACTCCAAGATTGCTTCTCTGCAGTGTATTATCAAAGCCCCTGGGGCACATTGAAACCGAAGTCATAGAGAAAAAATTATGGAGCAGTAATGATTGCCTTGTATTCGAGGCAAGCATACGAGTCTCAGAGGTTTGTATTTCCCAGCCAGGAAATATGATCTTTGGTGACGCGTCTAGTTTCTTTTCAGAATTGGAAAGGTGAAATTGGAAAATCCAAATAGTCACAAACATTTGTTTCAGCTCTAGTTACCTCCCTCACCTTCAAAATGGAACCTGCCTTCCCCCCGCTCCTTATATGCTACTTCATAAAACAATATGTATAGTGATCATGTTCAATAAACAAAGTAAATGCTACAGTAATAATAACTTCAGCTGGGACTTCCAAGTGCTTGACTCCTATTCTGTGAAACAGGCATGGCTTGCAATTTTAACTTTTGATAAGCTTCCGGGCAACGGATGTGCTCTCTCTCATTGGCTTAATGATATCTTTAATTACAGTGTTTTTTCACTCCACACAGCTGGTGTCTGCATAAAAAAATGAATGAATGAAACTTTACCAAAGTCAAAAGGGGAGGGCGGAATACTCAAGTCATTAAAGGAGGCTGAACAATATCTAGTGTGAATTTCCCCAGAATTACTGTATTTAGTGTGCCCGCATAAGTGTGCACTTGTGTCCGTGTTTTAAAAAGTAAATTATTTTTGTGTTAATGGGCACTGGGGAGGTATGACACTTAGTTCTCCCTTTATGTGACACATTTCATCACTCGGTCATTGTTTTGCTCTTGTTGACTGATAGCTTCCCTTCTTAGATGGTCAGTGAATTCTGGCTAACATTCTTTTCGTTTAGTAATAACAACAAACCGGCATATACTGGGAACATGAAGACACCCAAAGATCTCTGCTAAACATGACTATGGTTGCTTTTTTTGCCCAAACTGGAATTATTAGATAGATAGATAGATAGATAGATAGATAGATAGATAGAGATAGATAGATTAGATAGATAGATAGATAGATAGATAGATGATTGATAGATAGATAGATGATAGATGATAGATAGATAGATAGATAGATAGATAGATAGATAGATAGATAGATAGATAGATAGATAGATAGATAGATAGATAGATAGATAGATGATAGATGATAGATAGATAGATAGATAGATAGATAGATAGATAGATAGATAGATAGATAGATAGATAGATAGATAGAGATAGATAGATTAGACATAGAGATAGAGATAGAGATAGGTAGAGATAGATAGATAGATGATAGATAGATAGATACAAGGCAAATATCTGGGGCCTGTGCACAACCTTAGTCTACTGAGCATCAGCTTGGAAATAACAGCAGAGTCATGTCAGTGCTACATGGGCAGTGTGAAGTGCATCACCTCAAAGTTGTTACAAAAGAGAAAGAGAAGAGAAATTGCCTCCAGCTGCTGTGAGCTGTCATCATTTGATGGCTTCTGAAGTCCTCACAACTTCTTCACCCCTGATATATACAGAACACCTGCCACAATATGTTAATATGAAATGAGCCGCAGAATACAGAAACCAAGGCGAGGGTGGAAAACCACTTAACCCTCTAGCTCAACTCTTAAACGTATGTCTGAGGACTGACGGGCAAACATGGTGAAGCTGTTCCTGGATTGTATTGGTGTGAGATTGCGTTTCTGAATGGTCCTGTCTGGGATTTGTGTGTGTGAATGCTGCCTATGACATTTCAACCTAACATTTCAAAGAGATGGCTAGTCCCGAAAAAAACTCTTCTCTAACATTTAGCTTTGTTAGCGCTCTATGCCTTATTTGTGTGTATCTCTGTGTGAGGAGAGTGGAGTATACAATCAACCATGCTTACCCTTCTAGGGGTTTAAAGTGGTGTCGCCCAGGGGCAGTTTTGCTATGAGATCAAGAGATCGGGCCTCAGACTGAATTTGCCTTCAGTGGAATCCAGCCTCTTTTCCTGAGAGAAGGGCAGGGCCGGCCTAAGACATTTTGGCACCTGAGGCAAACAACAAAATGGTGTCCCCTCCTTGCCAGGGAAGAAGAGGTGAATGAAGAACAAGCGGGCAGGATATAAAAATCTACATCAGGATTTGCTGCCGCTGTGGATCCTGCCACCCATGCCTCATGGGTAGACTGGCCCTGGAAGAATGCCACATTCAAACCATGCATGTAAAGCACTATGATACTGCTTTAAACAGTCATGGCTTCTTCCAAATAATTCTGGGAGCTGCAGTTTGTTAAAAGTCCTGAAAGACTCCCTTTCCCCTTCCAGAGCTCTGGATCCCAGAGTTCCTTGTGATCACTAAACCGCTCTTGGAATTGTAGCTCCGGGAGGGAAACAGGGGCCTCCTAACAACTCTCAGCACCCGTATCAAATTACAGTTCCCAGAATTCTTTACGGAAGTACTGTTATCATGGTATATTTAAATGTATGGTGTGAATGTAGCTGAGGTCTCCTGGAGTGAGGTAGGGTGCTGGCTAGCTATGGGAAATCCTAACAGGGACTCTCATCGACAATATCCTGGTGGGTCTAATGACAGTGGTGCCAATGGCAGAACCTGGATACCCAGTGGTTGCCATGACCAATCTTCTTCTCCATGAGTTGTTCCAATGCTATACTGGGCATGCTTGAAAGATTGCATTATGTGAGTAGGCTAGAGCACACACAAGCTTTCCTTTGTTATTGTTCTCATGCTGACTTTGCATAGGATCCAGTCATGCAGGGAAGGGATGTCCAAGCTGAAGAAAACAGAGAAAGACAACCCCTCTTTTATGGTTCAGTTCATGTGGTGGTGTATCCAGATTCCTGGGATCTCTGAACCTAAACAAATGGTAAAGGTGTGGTAGTAGAAATAAAATGTGTACTTGTACTCTCAGTGCTTTATTTCCACCTGCCAATAAGATGGGCCTTTGGCTTGATCAACCAGAATGTTCTTAGTCTTTGTAGGGTTGCCATTTATGAATGTTGGCAGCCTTGGGCTCAGCTGTAAAGTGTGAGTTCATCTTCCCTGATGCTACTCTTTGCATGTGTGAATTGGCTAGGGCTCACTGATCCTCCATGACAGCAACTTCAGCATTTGGTGGATTGTTCAAGCATCCATGACAAGTGTCATCTTGGAGCCCGCTCTGTGCAGCTTTCACCGCAGCCATATGCAAATACAACTCATGCACCATATGCATCCATTCCTTTTATGCTCCTTTGGATTGGGACCAGAGTGTGTTTCTTTTTCCTCCTTAATCCTAGAACAACTAACAGCTGGAGAGTCCTTTCTATTACTAAGAGGGTGGGAATCAAACTCCCTGCAGCCACTCCCTCTCTCACCAATGGATGAGGCTAGATGGGTCTCTCTCTTGCCATGACTTTTTTCTTGGGAGTGGCACCCGCCCTGTAGAACACTCTCCCATCAGATGTCAAGGAAATACAGTAATACCTCAGGTTAAGAACTTAATTCGTTCTGGAAGTCCGTTCTTAACCTGAGGTGCCACTTTAGCTAATGGGGCCTCCTGCTGCTGCTGCGCTGCTGCCGTCTGATTTCTGTTCTCATCCTGAAGCAAAGTTCTTAACCCGAGGTACTATTTCTGGGTTAGCAGAGTCTGTAACCTGAAGCGTCTGTAACCCGAGGTACCACTGTAAACAACTATCTGACTTGTAGAAAACATCTGAAGGCAGCCCTGTTTAGGGAAGTTTTTTAAGTCTGATGTATTTGTTGTGTTTTTAATATTCTATTGGGAGCTGCCCAGAGTGGCTGGGGAAACCTAGCCAAATGGGTAGGGTATAAGTAATAAATTATTGTTATTGTTATTGTTATTATTAATTGGACGCCAAGGAGGAGTGCAACTTCCCAGAAGGTCCTAATCCCCTGGCCTATGGCAGAGCCCTAAGTCTGCTGCTCTTCCACTTCTTGGGAAACATATGGAGAGGGAAGAGACTATAAACACAAGGTATGGCTGCGCCGATAGCCCTTTATTTCTTATAATGTGCAATTCTGCCCCAGGGGCCAAACAGCATGTGGCCACTTTCACACAGCAAGCTGCTGCCAGTGTTGAATTTCCAAGTCCGTTCAACGTCCCGCCATTCTGACCTGCCAGACAGTCCTCCTGAAAGTATGTTGGTTGCTGTTCCACCTTCAGCCTGTCAGATCTCGTTGCAATGATGAGATAATCTGATTAGGGGAGTTGGGAATTATCAAGATTCACTCACCATCCATATATTTTCATATCACAGCCAGAGCAAGCTGGAGATTGTCAGTGATCAGCGAAGCGCATGTCGAGTGGCCAATTCAATTCCCTGGGCCCCATTCCCCCCGCCTTAATATTCAAACTGAAGGATCTGGCTTTTCATCTCCTTCTTTCAACACTACAGCTGCCTTCCACATCCCCTGTTGCTCCAGACATCACTCAAGGAGACTTGCTGAAACACATCCAACACAGTGGTGATTATTAAGCAGGGCTCCACTTCTGTTCCTTTCCGGAGTATCCCTTGGGTGACTCCTTGTGGCTGCAGATACATTTATGACTAGGGGAGAGGTTAGGGATCATCTTGCTGCCATTCAGCATAGCAGGAGCTTACACTGATGGTGCCTAACACCTCTTGTTGGTCTGGCACCTTGACCAGAGACATCCTTG